GAATATTGTAAAGAAAAAAATATTTGTTCTAATGTTGTTTGTTCAATAATATATGTTTCAATATGATATTTATCTTTAATTTGTTGAATTAAATCAAATAATTTGGGTGGTGATGAATAATCAACTTGTAAAATAATTGTTGATTCAGTTTTATGATGAATTTTAATATCTATTTTATTTTTTAAATAATTATATAAATTAGATAAATTTTCAGGATTTTCATTGGAATTAATTTTAATATTAATTGTATAACCATTTCCAAATTTATTCTTTAAATCTTGAATATATCCTAAACATTGAAATTGTCCTCGTGACATAATAGCAAGACGTGAACATAACAATTCACATTCTTCCATTGAATGTGATGTTAAAATCATTGTTATATCATTATTTAATGCATATTCAAATATGCGACGCATTTGACGACGACTATATGGATCAACACCTTGAACAAAAACAATTTTCTTTTTTTTTTCTTTTAAAAACAATTAAATTAATATAACCTGTTGTTGGTTCATCTAAAAAGAAATAAATAACAGTTATTCGTCAATTTCAGTTCGAAAAAAAAATGAAAATTTTCAAATTCTCACACAAGTTAAATGTTCAATAGGGATATTATATAAAATAATCAGCATCTTATTCATATTGAAATCATTCATGTTAGGACATCAAATTTTCATTAAATTAAATTAAAATAATAACTCAAATATTTTAATTGACTTTTTTATATTCGATTATTTTATCTGAAACAATCGAATTATTTATTTTCAATATTTTTAAATAAGATTGATTTTTTTTTGTCGACAAATAGAAGATAATAGATAAACGATCGTTTGGAATAGAATAAGTCGTTAGACAATTTCGAAATTGATAATCAAGAATGACAAACGATTTAATTAAATATCAAATCATATTTATATTTAATATGAAGTAAAAATTAAAGAATAAATCTCATTTTTCGTATTTCATTAGAAATGTCAAATATTCAAATAAAAACAGTTGATCGATTTATATCTTATTAAAAATGATATCTATTTTAATTGAAATGTCTCTATAAGAAGAATCAATTAAATAAATTTGTTTAGATTATTTCGTTTGATATCTTGTTTATATGTCTGACTTCATTTGAGATAAACGATTTATTTCTAAACTTTTCTTATTGTCTATTGATGAACGGATGCATATTTGATTTAAAAAGAAAATAAAACTGATATTGAGATGTTTCCATTCAATGATAAATTCGACAAGAAAAATAGATCTCGATTCAACGAAATTTTCGTCAAGGGCATTTTTTTCAAAAGTTTTTCTATTTTTTTTACCAAACAGGATATTTTATGCATTTTTATATAATATGTATCTATTTCTATTCGAAAATTTCTTTCGAATGCTCAATTTTTTTTATGTTGTTCTCTTTGTCTCCATCCTACATGTCATGATAATCATGTGTTCATACTCATTGAATATTTGTCTAACAGTTAAACAATAATTGTCAATCACTGTCAATATATTAAATATATCTATGTTAGATTATCTTATTTTATTTAATTATAGAAGATTAGCAACATACAAAATAAGCTAACAGAAATAATTTACTATTGTTTTTCCTCATATTTGTTAAGGTAAAATAATAAATAGATATTTTTCTGTTGATTGATCATTAATCATCCGAAGATTGATCGAACCTCTTAACCTGAAAATATCATCTTAATCAACTATGAAGTTAATTATTTAAATAGATATATTGTTTGACAATTGAATATTTTATTGAAAACTTATGGATTTATTCAAGATTAATTAAATATTAATTATTCAATTAGTCTTTCTTACAAAGACTAAATAAAGTTTCTCATATTAAAATAGAAAGTTAGTTATTTTAAAATATTTTTCTCTAAAAATTTTCATAGAAATTAATTTTTGCATTTCGAATTTGAATTGAAGAAAATATTCTCCCTTTGGCTTATTGTAAAATGTCAAAAAAAATTCTTTAAGAATAAATTTTGATAAAGAACACAAATGTTCCAATCTAATGATTAGCTTAGAAATGAAACAATCTTGAAAAATCTTTTTCTCAATTCATATTCAAATTGAAGTAGAAATTTCATTTATTTATTATATTTTCTATCATATTTGTCAATGGTCATATTCTTATTATTGAAATTTTTTTCAAACAAATTCAAATATCGATTTCGATAGTTTATTTTTGAAACATATTTTGTTATATATTATCATCGATTCGAGGCGATTTGATCAAACAACTTTTATTAATTTCTAATCAAACTGAATTAGGATAAAAAAACAAACAAACCAAGAAGAATAATGGTTGGTGGTCCGAGAAAAGCAAGAGCAGCATGCATTCTTCTTCTTGTTCCACCACTTAATTGTTGAACATATTGTTTAAGAAATAAATCAAGTAAAAATAATTTTGAAATTATTTCAATTGTTTGTTGAAGATGATAATGAAATATTCCACGTAAACGTCCAAATAAATAAAAATAATCTTCTAGAGTTAATTTATCTTGAATACAATCATATTGAGGACAATATCCAATATCTCTACAAGTTCCACGAAAAAAATCATCATATTTTTTTCCATATATATATATTGAACCATTTGTAGGTTTTTCTTCACCAACAATTATTTTAAATAATGATGTTTTACCTTTATTTTAATTAAAAAATAAAAAGAAAATATTTTTGTTTTTGTAAAACAAAATAAAAACTACCAGCTCCATTAAATCCTAGAAGACCAAAACATTCTCCTTGGTGAACAGAAAAAGTAAGATGATTAATAGCTAAATATTGTTGATGAGGATATTTTTTAATAATATCAAATGAAACAATTGGATATAATGATAGATTTTTATTTGATATTAAAGTAATTCTTTCTTGTAAAACATCATCATCAAGTTCTTCTTCATTTAATTCATCGTTTAGATTATTTATTGATACATTTTTTAATCTAAACAATTTATCATTTAAAATATTTGTATCAATTAAAAAAAGACAAATAAATAATGATATCATTTGAAATAAACTTATTAATATATGTTTTAAAAAATCATTTCGATTTATTTCTTTAAAAAATCCCATTTTTGATAATATATATTGATCATTTTCAATTAATTTACATAAATTTTTTGATGAATTTATTAATATAATTCCAATTAAACGTTTTCCATTTAATGGAGGAAATATAATGTTAATTAACCAATAAAATAAATTTAATTTTATGGAATTTTTCATCATTATTATAATTAATATTCGAATTAAATCAAATATTTCAATTAAAATTAATAATAATAATATGAATAAACCAGCAATTAAATCATTTTTCATTATTTCTAAATAGACAAAAAAATATTCATTTTTTTTTGTATCGATCAATAAGAAATTTTATATTGAATTTAATAGAAGTAACGCGAAATAACCAAACGATATTAGTAGGAAACGTCAACAATAATAGCGTCGACATTAATCGTGGTGTGGTCGTGAGCGTGGTCGTGAGTAGAGACCCAAGATAACCCCACACCCACACCCACACCCTTATCTTCTTATTTAATTAATTAAATCATCTATATTCAATCAACATTGATATTTTTTCTTTACTTTTATTGACTAATTCGAACTGATCGATAGGTTTTTTCTATAGAATATATTTATTTTAACTTTAAATTAAACAAAATCAATAAATTCAACTAAATAATTTCATTGATTTTTTTTCAATAAACAAAAGAAAATATTTTATTTAGGTTTTTTCTATTAATGTTGATATCGGTATTTATTAAAAATTTTTTTTTTATGAAAATAAAAACATTGATATATCAGATCGAACAAGATTTTAAATAAAATTCTTCACATTTATAATTAGTTGATTTCAATAATAAAAAAGATATTTTTATTAACTCGAATTTATATTCTCAAATAGAATTTTTTTTTTGACAAGTCTTTTTATATTATTTATAAAAAAAACGTTTTCTAATTAAATGAAAACTATTGTAGAAATAAGTCTTTATTTTCAGAATTGATTCATTTAAGGCTCCCATCCATCGAAAAAAGTCAATTTCCGTCAAAAACGTCGACATTAAGATAAATGCATGAGAGAATAGCCCATCTGAATAAGTCAATATTTTTGGCTTAAATTTTATCTAGTGAGCTTTCCTAGGTTTGAATCCACATTTTTTGAAATTTTCATCTAGATCAGTTGTTCTACAACTAGAATAGATTTTTGAGAGTGTGATAAACTAAATTTTTATTTAATTTTATCAATTTTAATTAAAAGAATTTTTGAAAGCGATTTGAAACGTTTTTAAAATATTCTAAATGATATTTATGTGAATATTTGAAGAATTTTTAAACTTAAAACGTCTAAGTTTTAAATGAATAAATAAAGATAAATTTTATAATAAAAGAAAAAACAAACTTGTTATAAGATAAATAAAAGGTAATGTTGAAGCAGATATAATAAATGTAATTGAATAAAAAATAAATTTAATTTGAATATTATTATTATTAAGAATTTGTTGAAATTTATTTTGATTAAATAAATCGTTTTTATCATTTAATGAATAAATAAATAAAAGAAAAAATGAATAAAATATTGATAAAATAAAATCAAAAAAAAATCTTGCTGTCCAATAAATAATTGGATGTAAACCAAATGTTTTCATTAATTTATTTAATTGTTTATCTTCATTAATAATTAATATTGTTATATAAAAATAAATTAAAAAATATGTTAATAAATATATTTCTGTTAATTGACCAGGTAAAATTCCATAAAAACAACTAAATAATGATAAATTTTTAATAAATAATAAAAATGACTTTTCATCAAATTGATTTTGATGATTTTCAATAAATTTCAATCGAGTTTTAATAAAACATTGTCCTCGACAAAGAAATTCCGAAGCTACATTAAATGGTTCATAACCAATAATTAAATGTGATGTTAATATCGATATTATTTTACTATTTTCAAATAATAAACCAATATATTCATTTGAATATGCACCAGAATCCAGTTTACGACGCACTAAATATTTTCTTTAAACTTATTTTCGTTTTTTTTTCATTTTTAATTAAACTCTTTTTTATTTTATATCAAATATTTTTTTTTGTAATATGTTTATATTAAAGAACATTATTGAAAATTAGCTTTGTTTTTCTAAAATTTTTCATACAAATAAAATAATATCAGATGATCAATATATTGTTTAATCACATGTTTTTATTTAGTTTTTAATATATATTAAATGTTTGACTAATTCAATTAAAATTTATTTATTCAATATAATTATATAAATAAATAAATTTCAAATTAAATCGTATCGAAATATGAGTGAGAAAACAATCTTAAAATTGTTTGAAATGTAAATCAATTTTGAAAAAATTTCATCGGAATTTCAATATGAAGAATTTTACAATATTCTATTTTTCTATTTTATTATATGTCAACTAGATTTGTGTTTAACTATCAGATCTAATAGAATATATATAAAATTAGGCTAATAGAATTAGATTAGTATATCTATTATTGATTATATATGTATATCAATTTGTTTTGTTAAGAAAAAAAAACTCATTCTCATATAATATATTGAAAAATTAATTTTGATTTTGAAATTGCAATCATTTAATTTCTATTGAATTTTATTAATCAAATTTGATCCATTGTCTACTTTACGAATTGGATAGATTGCAAATAGTTAGTTACTATCGATCTATTATTCGAGTTCGAAAAAAACAAAACAAATAAATTTTTGTTTTATCTTACGAGATAAAAAGTGAAAATGAATAAAATGAAATTTTGTTTAAATAAATAATCAAAAATGAAAAGAAATTCTTACTCCAATAAAAATAATCAAGTTGTTGAATAGTTGTTATATTAGTTAATTTGTAAATATTGGCTAATGGTGAACGTTGATTTATTCGAGATATAATTCTATTAAATAAATATTCATCATATTCGTATTGATTTATTCCAATATATATATTTTGTTCTTTTAAATGAGACCAATCATCAATATCAATTAATATTGATTCATAATCGGTTGTTGTTTTAATAAAATATTCAAATATAAATGGTATTAATAAAATAACAAATAATAATATCGATCTTCTATAAGCAATACGAATTGATTTAATAAATAAACCTTCATATTGACTTAAATAAAAATCATAACCTTGTTCAATTAATTTTTGATTAAATATTTCAAAACAATTATCTTCAATTAAATCTTGATTTTCTTCAATTAGTTCATTATTTTCATATTGATCAATTGCAATACGAAGAAATACTTCCTCTATTCAATAAAAAATATTTTTAAGGAAAAAAAAAACAAAAAAAAACCTAATGTTGTATTTGATAATCCATAATTTAAAATAAAATTATTTTCTTTAAGAATTTCAAGTTGATATAAAAGATCAATAAATAATTGTGATGATTGTTCATTTGTTTGAATAATTAATTGATTATTTGATTCGATTTCTATTGTTGAATTAATTAAATATTTTTTAATTAATTCAAATAAATAAATATGATCTTGATTATTATTTGTATTTAAAATTAATTTATATCCACTACCATAAAGTCTTTTTAATTGAGTTGATGTATCATTTGCACAAATATTTCCATTAGATAATATTATTATTCGATCAGATAATGCATCTGCTTCTTCCATAAAATGTGTTGACAATAATATTGTACGATTTTCTTTCATCGAACGAATCCATCTCCTTAACATTTTCATTTTTTATTTAGAAAAAAACTTCGAATAAAAAAAAAAGTCAATACCATAAAAGACGACGATTTATTGGATCTAGACCACTTGATGGTTCATCTTATATTTTAATTTCAAATAAAAGAAATATAAATATAAATATATTTATTTACCAAGTAAAACAAATCTTGTATTTCCAATAAATGCACATGCTATTGATAAACGTCTTTTCATTCCACCAGATAAATTTTTACAATAAACATTTCGATCTTCTGTTAAATTAACTGCTTCAAGAAGATTTGAACAAATATCTTCTTTATCGTTTGAATAACCTTTTCGTTATTTTTTTTTATTAAATAAAACAAAAAAGATAAAGATAAAATAAGTCAAACCTCGTGCAATTGCATAAAACTCAATTTGTTCTTCAACCGTTAATAAATCAAATAAAATATCATCTTTAAAAAGTTTAAATAAATAAATAATAAAAAAAAAAAGGAAAAAGTCATACGTTGTGGACAATATGATATAAATTGACGTAAATAATCCATATGATATCGTGTATCATAATTCGATATTTTAATTGATCCATCAGTCTGTTGACTAATTCCACAAAGCATATTCATTATGGTTGTTTTACCTATATTAGCTATTTAATTAATATTTAGTTTTTTTTTTATCAATATAAACGAAATATAATTGATTTATATCAAAAGAGATTTTTTTATTTTAGAATAATTTTTT